AACCAACATATTATCGACATACTTCGGTCAAAAAGAAGTACTCTTCAAGTTAGTTATTTCATATATAAAGTTTTTTTTTTTAAGCATCTAACTAAATAATCATTACAGACGTTTACTGTGGAACAAGAGTGTATTGATTATATGATACTAATAAATGATACAATTTTTCTTGTCATTGATGGTTCACCATCGACGAGTTTTCTTGAAGCTATTAAATCATTAAAACACATTGATTCAGTATTTTTTTATTCTTCATTACCTGATATAATTGACGATATTAACAAAGGACAATATGCTTATCTTGTTTATTTATGTGAAACTGAAGAAACACTTATAGATAGTATAAGAAAATCTCGTGAAGAACTTGATCAACATATAGTTACATTGAGTATGTATAATATCAAAGAAAAAGCAACACGAGATCTTTCAAAAGAAGCTGGTTCATTTATATTTTTTCAATTATTTAAAAATATATTAAAACATATGCCTACAACAGATCAAGCTAAAAAAACTATGATTACAACATGTCGAAATTATTATCGTGGAAAATTAACTGAATTAGTAAATATTGATGAATTTGATCGAACGTATAAATCAGCTGATGCTATACCATGGTTTGTAAAAGATACATTTATTAATAAGTAAGTTTATTAAAAATACAAAAAAAAAAATATTTTATTTATAAATATGTTTGTTTTATATTTAGATTTATTAATAAAGTACTTCGTACAGAAGATGTTAGTGTTTTATATCAATTTCGTTTTTATATTATGGATTTAAGTGAACAACTTGAAATGAAATTTTTAGAACTTAAAGAAAAACAGAAAGATGTTCTTCGACTTTATCGACATTCACAATTAAATCATGATGAAGTAGAAAATTTTCAAAAAAGTATTGGAAATTTAATATCAACAAATGAATATTTATTAACAAGTAGTATACGTTCAGTTGCATATGATTTTACAACAAAATCTCCTAAAAGTGAAGGTTTTGAACGAGTTTTATTTGAATATCAAGTTGATTTAAATATTGTTCAAACAATCGTTATTGCTGATGTTCAAGAATATTCAACATTTCCTGAACAAGCTGAATTTCTAGTTGATATTGGTAAGAAAAGTTTATTTTAAATCAAAAAAATAAACTGTTTAGAATTTTTCAATGTTAAGATCTTTTTTTTCTAACTCTAATTTGGATAATTCGATGATTAATTTGAAGATTTTGTTCTTGTCATTCAATCTATTAAAATACTTAGATTGAGATTAACATAATATTAGTTATTTATTTGTGTAATCACTTTTTTGAAACGAATTTTCATAATTTTACCACCATATTTGAATGTTTGTTAGAGAATACTATAGACAATGTAATCGTATAATATTACTAACAGATTATCGAAATAGATTTATTAAAAAAAAAAATTGTAAGAAAATGTGTAACATAGGATTTTCAAATTTATATATTTCATATAGATAATAACGGATTTATATAGAAAAGTAATATCTTTAATGTCTATCAAGTACTTTACGAACTAAGTCTAGAAGTGCTATTTTCGAGAATTATGTTTAATTAAAGTTATTCACTGTAATTGATATCAATATCTTTTTCTTTTATTGTTGATTTCTCAATAATTTTTTCCATTCTTAATATGATATATAAATTTCTTTGACAAAATATCATCATTAATAAACTTTCTCAATATCTATGAGTAAATATGCTTCTTTATCTGACCATCTCAACTTATAGTCGTCATGCTCAACATCATCGTTAGTAAAATTGCAATTTGTAAATCAATGGCTATTTCTTTTATAACTATCCGAAAAAGAACAATTAATTAAATCACAATATTATGTATACAGTAAACATGCAAACACAAGAAGAATATACCCAGCCGACCATCCGATAGGCATTTCGACCCCTCGATTTTCCACCGTCGATGTCTTCTAAGATACCCATCGCCGAGCCCTCGACCCATCGGAAAATGGCAAACCCAGGGGTCGATTTGAAATTCCGATGGGTAGACCTCGTACCCCAGATAGCACCACGATACATATTACGAAAACTTCGATCCTATGCTTCTGCTAACTATCAAGTTACTCACCATCTAGCCTTGGACCCATCGGAATTTCAAATCGACCCCTGGGTTTGCCATTTTCCGATGGGTCGAGGGCTCGGCGCACCCCTCGCACGTCTTTTTTAGCTCACTTGGGTAAGAAATATATGACATTGATATAATAAAAAAATAAGATACAACAAGAGTCACATATGTATAAAACCATGAATCATTTCTATTTACTAAATGATGACGTCCTTTAAAAACAAGATTGATAATAGCGATGTGGAGCTTCTCTATGATCATAGTTGTTAATACATAATAAATACATTTTATTGCATGAAAAAAAGAATGCAAAAGAACAAAAGAAAAACATCAAAATTTTAAAATTCTTTCGTTGTATAATCTAATTTAATATCATATAAACGAAATTCTTATTTTCTTTTATATAGGAGCAGTTTTTCAAATTGATTCATGTCAGTACAGTGTCGAAGAAGATTTATGGCATATTCAAGTTCATGCAACTAATCAAGGTACTGATTTTGCTGCTGAATATATGGAATATCAAAAGAAAAAAATGATTGAATCAAATATATTTCTCATGTTTGGTAATTTACTTCTTGAAATGGGTGAATATGCTAAAGCCGAAAGATATTTTGATACAATTCTTAATTCTATGAATCCAAATGATGAAGAAATTGCATGTATATTTTTCAATTTTGGTCGTACACATCAATTAAAAGGTGACTTTAATCGTGCAATAAATTGTTATCATCGTGCATATAATTTACATATGGATGCTCGACCAAAACGTTTAGCAAGTGCAGGAAAAGCTTTGAATGGTCTTGGAATTGTTTATAGTGAACAAGGACGACAATTAAAAGCAGAAGAATGTTTTCAACGAGCTATGAAATTATATAAAAAAAGTATTCCAAAAAAACATGTTGATGTTGCTGGAACATTAATTAATTTAGGTACTATTGATTGTGATCGACAACACGTAAGACGACAAAAACAACAACAACAAGAGATTTTCAAATAAATCTAAATTTCTTTTTTTTTTCTGCGCTTTATTTAGTATGATGAAGCAGTAGTTAAATATCGTAAAGCAAAAAAAATTTATGATAATTCTCTTCCACCTGATCATCCAAATCATGCAGTACCAAGAGTTAATTTAGGTAACGTTTATTTAGCTGCTAAAGATTACTCAAAAGCTTGTGAAGAATATGAAATTGCATTGAAATTACAACAACAATCATTACCAAGCGATCATCCAAATATAGCTCGTACATTGCATAATCTTGCAATTGTTCAAACACATCTAGGAAATATTGAACAAGCAAAACAATATTTAGAACGAGCAGAAGAAATAGCTAATCATGTATTATCATCAAAACATCCAGTTGTGTCTTCAATTCGAAAAACAAAAGCTCTAATGGCAGAAGAAAGTTGAAGGATATATGGGTACGTGACATTAAAAAGACTATTTTTATTTTTATTTTTTTTTTTTGTATTGTAATAATGTTTTATTTTACACTTTTCTTATTTATTTATTTATTTTTATAAATATCAATCGTTCAATTTAAAGTTCTCCAAATTTAATATTTGGTTGAATCAAATTCAATATTTTAATATGCGAAAATTAATAAATTATACTTTTAATTGTATGTTTATCTTTTAAATATTTTCATTATTCATCTGCAAATCGAATATCATACAATCCCTTAAGAGAACAAAAAAACAAATACATTATTTTAAAATTAAATAAAAATAAAAAGTCAAAGAAATTTTACTTGATATAGTGAAAGATCAGCATCTTGAATTGATAAAATCCATGTATCTTTATCTTCAGATTCATTATGATGTGAATGTAACATACTAAGTGAATTTTTATTTTTATCTCAGGTCAAAGACGTGCGGCAAAAAACAGGAGGATCGAATGAACTTCCAGCGAATGCTGAAACCCGATGGTGACGTTCGTATACAGCTGCCATTTTCAATTCGGCTGTGGCGCTGGGATCTGACAACCACATACGATGACAAGATACGGCTTGAAACTTGTTCTTTCCAGTTGCATGATATCAATAACTTCCAACCGACAAATCGGTGATTCTTGTCGAAGATAGGTATTATTTTGTTTGAGTATTATTGTAATTCACTCGTGTAAAAATAATAACAAAGATCAACTCAAAAAAGTCTTCAAAACCAGCCATTCGCTTAGATAAAAATCCGAAAAGGTAAAAAAGTTGCTTTGCACTCTCAAGATACGATTCAATTTCGGTGTGATTCTGGGTGGATATAATATAGTTTTATGATTTTCCGATCTGTAATACTGCCATTCTGTTTCGCGCATATTTTTGGCCGTTTTCAGTGAGTTTTCGCTGCATCCAGAGTCCGAAATCATTAATTTGGAATATTTTATTACCTTCAAAATGGATGAAAATATTTTCAAGTTTATAAAACAAAATGAATTCGATAGTTTGTAACGACTTCTTAATCTAATCATCTACAACCACTTTTATTATTACAACTGCGGTCACTTTTCTATATCATTCATTACCTTATATATGAGACGAGAAAGAGAAGGGATAAACGATAAAATAATCAACAATAAATAGTCGCTGTAGAAAGAAGGAAAAGCAAAGAGATGACAAGTAAACAATGGCATTAAGTACATTATTATTGCATCGCAATAACATCCACTTCAGCCGTTCTTTTGTTGTTCCGTTGACATGATGCCCGAATCGCTTTTACTACTGTTCTATTCTTCAACTGAAAATTATCAAACTCTTGTTCAATATCTTGTAGTAAAATTCCTTTTGTTTATGGACAAAAAAAAATATACGAATACTGCAGAGAATAAACACAGACCATCGAAAAGATAAAATACTCCATGTATTCCTAATGGAGTTGTTAACTCCAATACATAAGTCATAACCATACATAGAAATCAATTGCTCCCTGTCGTTATTGGAACAGCTCTAGCTCGAATATTAAGAGGAAAAATCTCAGCTGCATTAATCCAAGCGACTGGTCCCCAAGAAAGTGCAAAAAAACATACAAAAATAGCTGTAAAGAAAAGCATTAATATACCAGAACTTGTTTGACAACTCTCAGTTTCTTCATTTACTATAGTACCATTGATGATAGTTTTGATTACGTCACAACCTGTGGCAAATACTGTTGCTGCTAGAAAATGGCCAACTGCCATGCCTAAGCCACCAAATATAAGAAGTTTTCGACGTCCTAGTCTATCAAATAAGAATAAGGCTGGTATTGTGCTTAACATATTTGCACCAGACAAAATCAATAATGATATGATGCCTTTTTCAAGAACACTTTGATATATAATACCACCAAAATTAAATACAGGATTAATACCCGTTGTTTGTTGTAAAATATGCATGGCTACCCCCACACCAAATCTTTCAAGCATTTTCTTTGTTGTGCATAGTTCTGTGATTGAAAAGTGATCACCTTCTTCTTGTATAGCATCAGCAATAGCATCTAATTCAGCAGTTACATCGTCTGTTTGACGAATACGCTTTAAACTTTTCTCTGCCGATTCGTGATTCTTGTTTTTGAACAACCATCGAGGAGTTTCAGGACAGAGAAATATGCCAATCATAATAGTTATCGGAGCGATTAAAATAATTCCATTTCACAATCGCCAGCCCCATTTATGATTTTGTATTAAAAAATTTACCACATTGGCAGCAAACAAACCAGTTACCACAGTCATTTGCATAAAACCGGAAAGCATTTCACGTAGATTTGTTGGAGCTATTTCGGAAGCATATAATGGACAAGAAAATGAAGAACAACCAACGCCTGTTCCTTCGATAATCCGTTCAATAAGTATATCAAAATCATTATCTTTTTGGAACCTCCTGGTGGAAAAATAACTATTGAGGTCCCAATTAAAAACAGAACTGCTGAAGTGAAAATAATTGCTCGACGTCCATATTTTTCTGCCACAAATGAAGAAATAAACATAGCACCAATAAAACATCCGACATTATACATCAAGGTAAATAGTACTAAAAATCTTCTGTAATCTGAAGGCAACGCAGCTACTGGAAGGTCACAAACAGTTGTATTGGCATATACACCAACACAAAAGTCGTTTTTAAATGAACTCATGACAACTATACCACCAGTAACACCTTGATCATATCCAAAAAACCATCCAGCCAATGAAGAAAAGGCAGGCAATAAAACAGCAAAAGATGAATTTGTATATTGAACATTTTTATGTTGATGATGATGCACTTTTTCTTCAGGTTCCATCGACGTTTTATCTATATGTTGATTAATTTCGCTTACTGTTTCTATCGTCATTTCTCTATTTCTTTGTGTTCACTGCAATCAAGTAATACAATTTTACTTTTGAATGATTGCAATGATAGTAGTGAAGTAATCAAAAGGTTGACATTGATGTAGCAGAAAGAAACAAAGATCGAAGTAAAAAGCATCGAAATAACAAAAAAGTTGAAGTGAAAATTATCAAAAGTGCATCTAATTCAGCTCACTTACCTTCACTATCACCAACATTGTGCGCATAATCTACACAAGGATTCATAGGTTACATTTAAATGTAACTAATGTGTATTCAAATTGCATTAATATCATTTTCGATATTTGTGAGTTGTGGGTGTGCGGGTGGGTGCGGGTGTTTAGTGTGAGTGTGGGTGTGGGTGAGTGTGGACAATCAAAAGACGGACACCCAAACCCACACCCACACCCTGTGATAATGGATCGAACACATGCCTATCTGTTGATGCTCAAAGTGTTACTAGTTGGTGCATGTGGCTCATCAGCTTATTTCATAGTCGTTTTTCGGCCTCATATGTTTTATCCACTAGCTGTTTCAATCGGCCTCATGGGTTTATTCTTACTACCGCTCTTGCCCGTCACTTTTGAGTGTCCCGTTAAATGTACTTATTCGGTAAGTGCCGAATGGTCCACTGGATTGCTCTTGTGTGTTGGTAATGTTCTAGGGGCCATTTTTATCTTCGTTCATAGTTATCTCATAAAACTGGCATCAGTCTATGAATCTGGACACATATTTACGCTTGCTTCCATATTCATTGTGGTTGTATTTTTTATCAGCGCATCGGCGCTATTCATCTACAACAGGCCCTATCTGAGAATGGAGACTGAACGTATGACTATGGCTAGATCTTCTGTGAATGCGTAGCAAGTTTTTATTTGTATGATTTCTAGACAAATTTAAGAAAAAGGATATCAAACAGTGAATTAAGAACGATGTGACAAAGGTTGATATTTCAGTTCGATTTCGATACATCATATAGCACATGCCGCCTCACTAATTTTAGCTCTATATTATATTAAAAACAAATTATTCAAGGTTTATCTTTTTTTTGGCGAGTTGCATCAGAAAAACAACGAGTTGTATCAAGCATAAAGGGCATGGAGGATTAGCGATTTATGAGATTTGTGAGATTAGAAAAATGAAAAATCACCGGAAACGATTGAAAATCATTGAAAGGTACAAATACTCACATATGCTTACTAAAACTGAAATAACTTTGGATGATTTTCGACTGCTTTCAAGCTGATTTAAATCATAGGGTAGGTGCGGGCGTAGGATTTCACATTACCTACGTTACATCTGCACCCCCACCCATGCATCCTTCTCAAAGAGGGTGTGGGTGTTCTGATTGCCTATACACACCCACACCCTTTTCCACTCATGTTAGCCTAGCAAAGAAATGATGTTTCCAATAGTTCGCTTTTGTCATCTATCCATGCTCTAACATTCGGTATATCGTATGCGAAAATTTTTCCACTTCTGGTATTATAATCTCTGCAAACATTTATAAAATAATTCGTAATTATTTTTGTTGATAGTAGATGGTCGGTGCTAGAAGTCGATGTAGACTAAGTTTACTATAAAAAGTCCAAATAAACTAAAAATTTATGTTTAATAGTTTCAGATATTGTCCTGTCGAAAGCACACAAAAAACTAAATTTTAAATTTGGAACAGTGCTTTGGTTCCTTTGTACTATGATGTATGCTCTCTTAAGTATTTCCGAAAGTAGAAAAAATGAAAAACAGCAAGAAAATTTTAATTTATTAATGCTAAAAATACTGAAAAGCTCATTTTTTCCCTTGTTTTTTTATGCATCATTCTAATTAGCCGTCTGTTGCATCCTATAAAGGAAAAAAAATCGTCAATAGCTTGATGACTGACTGTTACAAACTTACTGAATGGACTCATCGTCATGTTCATTGAGGCTTGACCTAAAATGCAATTGTGACAGCAATAACAAACTATGAACACATAATCGCAATAGACATACTCATAGCCATTAGAGCGAACTCTCTGTATTCCTTTCCACTTCCACACAATGAGACCAACAATTATTAGCACAATGACGATTATTGGAATAGCGATAAACCACATTAGGGATGCACGTCGTTTTCGTGTGGCGGCTATTACAATAAAATAATGAAAAATATAATTATTGAGCTCATTCAAAAAAATGTTATGCAATTCATTGATACGAAGATTATTGGAACACCAAGAAAGAAATGAGTTAAATTTTCTATACTAATTAACGCTAACCTGATTCTTCTAGGTAATGATAACATTGATTTTTTCTTGAAAGTTTAGAGAAGTTTCCAGAGAAAAATCAATCCCGTTGGATTATAGTTCGACTCGCTCGAGATTGTCACTGATTCTTTCGGTAGTGATCTTAAACAACAATATTTTTTCTCCGATCAGGATTCAATACAGCCTGTTCGGAAATTGTGCTTCAGATATAGTGAACTAGAAAAATATTAACCAAGGCAATAATACGTTCGTTATTGTTTGTGCTCTCATTTGATAATGAATCTTACAAACGAAACTGAAGCTATCATTCTACATCTCTAAACCTAATTCGGCTAAGACTCAAATGAAGCCAACCCTCGGAACTCCGTATAGAGTATAATTTCTACTCAGCGATACTTACGAATTTTTTTTGCAAATAACAGTGCTTATTCTCACACATTTAGGTTGACCGAGAGCTTTTGTGTGTTTTGTAAAAAAAAAAAATATCAGATAAAATATTTTCACAGAACGGCTCCTTAGTTCATTCTTTTATGTATTAATTTTTATCAAAAGAATATATTGAAATGTGAGTTTCATGACATACACTTTCAGCCACTTTCATCATCAGAATAAGCCTTCTTTATTGAAAATTTTTGAATCATATTGTAGAATGAAAATCTTCTACAAAAGAAAATGCATCGAAAGTTACAGATGTTGAAAGCTTATAGATCTAAATTATTTTCTATGTGTAATGATAATCATACCATCCTCTCTCTCTCTCTCATAACTGTCAACTCTTTTCCTTCTCATACTCATTTACATACAAGTTTGAATGGAAGTATAGTATTATAAACAATGTTATGAAAAATTAAATTAATATTCGACATCGAAAATTTCATCATACGATCAACTGTAAATAATTATTCGAACAAATATATATATTTTATATCTAAGAAATACATCTTCTCCAAATTGATTTTAAACATACATATATAGATAACTCACCCGACTTGGTAGTAAATTCTTTTGATAGAACAAATGTACACCCAGCACTTGTGCAACATCCCACTAGCACTCTGTAAAATATTCATTTACATAAAACTAACACCTCACAAATGAAATTCTCACTTGAATTTAGTGTCGATGTTTAGTGGACCATTACATATTCTGGGATTGACGCAGTTTGTCTCATTTCCGAGCATTATACTAATATTCTTAGCGAAATTCGCTGTCTGTCTAATAGAATAGCAAAGGATACAATATCGATGCAATCCAACTTGATCAATAATGGTCTATATTAGTTCTACACATACTTTTTTCTTGATGTAGAGACTGGAATTTCAACAGCCAAATAGTCTATTGAAGGATTATGCATAGCATCTTCGTATGTTCCATTCAAGTCAGGTTCTTCAATGGTCTTGTGTATGTCTTGAAGAATGTTAATCATAAATCACTTTTTTATGGTAGATTATGGTAATATCTTACTCTGACGGACATAGACCAAATATTTGAGCAAGATACCATTATCGCTCGAAAATAATGACTCATCGATATAAATAGGATGTTGACTAGCTGTCATGTTTCCATTATCACTGGAATCTATGATTTTTGTTTTAACATCAGCATTACTTGGCTTTTCAGGAACTTCACAGAAAAGCAAAGAAAAGAATTTCAAAGAAGGAGATGAATATAAAGGCAAGCATACCGTCCTCTGCTGTTTGATGAACTATTTCATCAGACCATATTCTTTGATTTGAAATGAGCTCTACATGCAGTTGATACCTGAAAATAATTATTTCTAACGATATTAGGAATTTAAGATTTGGTAAAAATTCTATTGTTGTCTGTTTTACTAGTTTTTTCACGAGTTAGGTGTCAGAAACTGTATAGTGAAAGTTTATCAAATAATTTTTCATCGAAGAAAAATATTCAATTATCATACGCAAATATTGATCTTGAGATCTATAATTGATACTATGATACATTCTGTATTCTGAGTGTCAAGCGGCATTGATCATGGTTGTCACATTTTATCAGATCACTTAGCCGAGTTCTAATTGTAATGAGCTTATAGGAAATGAAAGCTCTAGAATTTTTCCGAACGAAATACTCGTCAAAAGTTTCATTTCTTTTGGTAAGCTAACCAACACTGCATGATGATAAAATCAAAAAAGGAGATATTTGTTGGAATTTCAAATTAATAGTACATTGATAAATCCATACTAACTGTCGATTAGGACGAATTCCATTCGTGTAATTAAATGAACGAGCTATTCTATCCGAAACTGTCATACTGGTACCGTTGACAATGACAGAAAATTGATCGACATAAGTAGGTTCATCGATTGTCCAATGCACTGAGATATATCGAGCAGCCGATGTTGATGAAACGATGATTGGTTTTGGAGGCGCTATACGATTAAAAACTATATGTTCTTTTATTGAATTATTCGTGACTTACGTATTGACATAATGAACTCCTCTGAACGTGCATCAGCAAAGCCATGTTTTTTTGTTAAGAAAAAACATTGATAATCACATCCCCGAGTTCTGCTGAAGTTCAGTGTTAATGTTGTTGAACATTGATTATGAATAATGTTCATGTCAGTGCATGTAGGTTTCTGCTTTTCTTTCGCCTTGCATACTGTTTCAAGATTTTCGAAATCACTTTGTGTAGTAACATTTAAAGTGATCTGAGTCATATTTGGTAGCCACGTTTGTTGATAGATG